TTTCTTTTTTTTTTTTTTTTTTTTAACAACAATAATTCTGAAGGCTAAAGAGCCTAAGAAGAAAGAATTATTAAGAATTCCAAGAAAGGGACTTTTCAGTAGAAGTGTCATGAGCCTGTTAAGTGTCCTGATGAGCAGCAGACCGAGGTTTCTTTTTTGATGCGAGGCACCTGGTCGACAACATCTGTGGCATCCCCAGGGCACACTGCACCCCGAGCAGGAATTAAGGGCCTCTGGCACTGAGCCGTGAGCTGGTGGCTCTAGAAGGCTCTGCCCATTTGCACCTACTGGAAAGGAAGACCGTTGGGGTGACTTACCGTGGGCGCCCGTGACATGGATGTCTATCGCATGGGGCCAGTTACAGGATGCTTCTATCAAAAGTCCCCTGGGAACAACAGAACAATTATTTAGAAGGCCATTCCATGCCCTTTTGGTGTGTGGTGCCTGACTCACCGTAAGGGTTCTGAGTGTGTTCAGTTTCCCACCGGCTAAGCCAGGGAAGCCTGTGCTCCAGAGTCAGGGGGGCCCAGAGTTCAGGGACAGCACAGATCTTTGGCGGACAGCAGAGGGCTGTGCTACTACGATTAGGTGACTTCCTGCCACCCTTAGACCCCGGGTGACGAGCAATTGTCCCCAAGGGTTTATATAACCTGTGATTAAGCTTATTTTGGTTTCAATTCATATTTTGCTCAAAGGTTGTAACTTCTATAGTTTTGTTACTTCTAATACAAATTAGTGCCTCCTTCTCTTCATCTGTGGTCACCTTAAAAGTCACAGGAACGCTGCAGAGCCACCTGCCACAGTGAAAACACACCCAGGCTTTGTGGCCTGCACTCCTTGAAGGATCTCTGAGATCCATTTACAGAGCGGAGCATACCTAGCCTGCCCTCTCATCCCATGATCATACGGCGCTCGAAGGCATTTTATAGAATATAAGTATTATTTACTGTTATTGTTTCCCAGTGTTGGAAAAAGAACTTATATAAAATAATTGTTACCTAGTTTTTTTCTGTTTTTTGTTTTTTGTTTTTTTTTAATTCACTCTACACATGTGGTGTGCCAGGCACTGTCTAGACTTTGGGGACATAGAAATAAGTTGGGTAGTGAAGTGTCCACCATATGGAGTGTAGTTTTCAGTGGAAGAAGGCAGAAAACAAATGTGTAAAGAAAGAAACATACGCTCTGTTAAGGAAAACTACTTACCTGGATGTCATCAACATTGACACTTGTGCTCTACAATATACCTTGTTTGGACAATGAAATGACAAGCAACAGGTTGGGAAGGTATTTGAAGACCACATATTCCACAAAGGACTAGTATCCAGAATATTCAGTGAACTCTCAGAAATTCAACATTAAAAAAATCCAGTTAGAAAATGGACAGAAGACATGGACAGACATTTCAGACATCTCGCCGAGAAGATACGCACGTCACAGGTAAGCACGTGAAAAGACGTTCAGCATCGTAAGCCATAAGGCGAGTGCAGATGGGAACCACAGTGAGACCACCACAGGCCCGTCAGAACGGCGGAAATAAAAATCGGGACAACAGCAAATTCGATGAGTAGGCGGAGGAGCTAGACCCTCACCATGGATTGTGGGAAGGCAAAATGGTGGAGCCACCGTGGAAAACAGTTGGGCAGTTTCTTTAAAAAATCAAACTAAACATGCAGTTACCCTGTGGTGTGGCTGTTATACTCTGGGGCATTAGTCCCAAGGAAATGGGAATCTGTATTCACACAAAACTCTGTACACAAACATTTACAGCGGCTTTATTCACAGTAGCCCAGGCCCGCAAACGACCTGATGTCCTTCAACAGGTGAACACGGGCCCATCCACCATGGAAGCCTCTCGGTGATGGAGAGGAGCCAGCTGTCGATACAGCCACGTCCCGGGTGAGTCCCCAGACACGGAGGCCGCGTGCAAACAGCCAGTCCCTCGAGATCACAGACACCCTCGAAGTGACACATGACAGGACATGTGTCTGCCGGCCGACGTGGGTGTGGTTGTACCGGGCGGCACAGGGCGCGCTTGGGGGAGGGACGTCCTGTCTCAGCTGCAGTGGGGACACGTGCTCGCACACAGGGAGGGGATGCAGCGACACAGGATCGTGCACATGGTACCAGTAAGCTGGGCGTCTGCGGGACCACTGGGATGAACCGTCAGCGTCCCGCGGGTGACATTGTACACATTTGCAGGATGAGGGTGGGGGTGAAAGGTAAGGGCGTCTCTACCTCGTCTGCTCCAGCTGCATGCGGATCTGCAGTGCTTTCAAAACACTTTAAAACAAAGAAAAGCAGGGGTGCCTGGGGGCTCAGTCGGTTAAGCATCCGACTTTGGCTCAGGTCATGATCTCGCGGTCCGTGGGTTCGAGCCCCGCATCAGGCTCTGTGCTGACAGCTTGGAGCCTGGAGCTGCTTCAGATCCGGTGTCTCTCTCTGTCTCTGCCCCTCCCCGGCTCATATTCATTCTCTCTCTCTCTCATAAATGAACATTAAAAACATGTTTTAAACAAAAAAAAATGTACAATATAACCTCACATGATGCCAAATGCCATAAAGCAAGCCCCATGGGCTCCCGTCTGAGTGGCGTGGGTGAGAGGACGTGGCCAGCAGAGCTTTGGTGGAGGGCGGAGTGTGGCCGCTGTCTGAGGCCGCCCACCCAGCTGGTGTCATGGGTGTGTTCAGCCAAGCTCCCTGCTGGACACCCCACTTAAGAGCCCGTCCCGGGGAGCCCATCATAAATCATCACAAGCAGCGCATGCGACAGACACCCATGCGCAGCGGCTGTCCCTGCATGACTGGGGAAAGGTGACGCCTCCTAAGACCGTGTCACTGAGGGCAGTGGCTCATCAGTGGGTCGTCCTGGGACTTCTCACATAGCGAAAGGCGTGTCGCTCAAAGAACAGTCCTGTCACTTCACTTCCTTCTGTTTTTAAGAAGAAATGTCTGTTTTACGTGCCAGCTGTCTTCAATCAGAATGTTGACATTCATTTAGGAAGAAGCATCAAGGACCCTTCAAGGGCGTTTAACCTGTCAGCCATTCGCCGTGACTTTCTAATCCACATGTCCTGACGGCCCAGATGAAACCGCTAACAGCCGGGGCCTCCCTTTCCTGGGGAAGGAGCGGGTGTCTGTGCCGCGCGCCGCCCCAGCTGCCTGGGGCCTCAGGGCCCGGGACACCAGGTGGTCCCTTCTGGCCAGGCCGGGAGGACGGATACAGTGACACCAGGCGGAGAAAAGGCCAGGCGCGGGGCGGGGGCGGGGCCGTGCGGGGGACGGCGGGTTCGCTGCCCTGGTTTGCGGACGTGTCCCTGCAGAAGGCATCACGTCAAAGGAAACCTGTCATTTTGCCCACAAAACTCTGTTCTGTGGACGCTGCCCTCACTCTAATGACAAACCTGTCCTCCCTCAAGCGCTGCGGGGCTTCGGTGCGGTCCGGGCTCCCCAGCCACGACGCTGTCCGGTCTCTGCCCGTGGCCTCCTGTGAACCACGACGCTTCCCCAGAACAACGGTAGAGCAGGAGATGCTTAAAGTGATGCGGGTGGATTTCTGGGGCTCCCGGAAGAGTGGGGCATTGTGAAGATTAATGTAATAATGTCTTACTAAAATGTGATTTTTAAGCAACGTGCCGTAATCCACCGGATGGAGTGGCTTCGAGCCTTAACGCCCTGTCCTATTCACGCATTCTCAGCCACCTAATTGTTTTTGCTCTATGTTGGTTTATTTATGAGAGGTTTTTAAATTCGTCTATTTGACATTCCTCATTTGGTGAGAAAAAAACATCGTTTTCCTAAAACCACTGTACTGAACACCACCCAGCCCACTCTTAGCCAGCTTAGTGAGTAGCATCTCAGAACGTGTTAGAATAAGTGTGCCCACTGTATAAACACCGATCAGAGAAGGTTGTGCCTAAAGCCTGTTGTGAACACCGTATTTGGGTGTAGCTTTATAGCTGTAGCAAAGAAAACATTTAAATTATCACTTAAGATTGTCTGTTGGTTTTTTAAGTAGCAAACAGCTTGCTCTTGTGAATCTTCTCTATGGGAAGCGCTGCAGGCTGTGTGTGTCTTTGGAATGGGGAAGGACAAACATAAGAAGACACGTAACAGCCGGCTGATGACATGAGCTGCATACACGTGCGCACACTGCATTCGCTTCTGTGATTATCCCCGATACACTCACACTGTCCTCATACTTTTTAGATACAATCACAGAACTCACACTTAGTTTTATAAGAATTTGTTGGGGCGCCTGGGTGACTTAGTCGGTTAAGCGTCTGACTTCAGCTCAGGTCATGATCTCAGGGCTCGTGGGTTCGAGCCCCGCATCGGGCTCTGTGCTAACAGCTCAGAGCCTGGAGCTGCTTCAGATTCTGTGTCTCCCTCTCTCCCTGCCCCTCCCCCACTCATGCTCTGTCTCTCTTTCTCTCTCTCAAAGATAAATAAACATTTTTTAAAAAGAATTTGTTCACGGTTTTGTGTTATTTTCACGTCACAAACAGTAATTTAGTATTCTAAAGGAACTTTTCTATTATGAATCATTTGTCAGGAATTAATTGCTTTTGGGGTGCCTGGGGGGCTCCATCATTTAAGTGTCTGACTCTTGATTTCAGCTCAGGTCATGTGATCACCATCATGAGATTGAGCCCCACGTCAGGTTCCCCACTGAGTGTGGAGTCTGCTTAAGATTCTCTCTGTCCCCTCTCTCTGCCCCTCCCCCATTTTCACATTCTCACTCTGTCTCTCTCAAAAAATGAAATGAAATGAAAGTAAAGTAAGGTAAAATACAATGGATTACTCGCTTGTGATAGTAGGTGGCCCCATCCGCCATCCCCGCAGTGGGTCCTGTGTCTGCGCACCTGGCCTGGTCACTCCCATCCCTTCCCTTAAGTGCATTCCGAGCAAGCAGACCTCCCTGAGAATCACATCCCTCATGGAGGAATTTTCTTTCGTTACGTCCATCAACCTCATTTCTCTGCCTCTTTATTGTCCTCTAGGGTGACCACACCTGGAAGAGGGAAAAAATGTAGTTATCGAATCCAATCAACTCTTTGTGTCTCTGAAATTATCAACCGCATCCGGTCAAGAAAGGTTCCGGTCGGCGCCACCGACGTATGGCTGTCCAAGGAGCCACATAAAGGTAACAGTTCTAAGTCATACTTCACGCTTTACGTGGCGACAAATGTTTTATGTATTTACATGAAACTATCTCACTTTGAAAAGGCATAAAGACAGGTTTGTACAGGAGGTTCTTTTATTTACCAAAGACCACAATGTCCCTTAATTTTAACAAACAAGCCCAATATAAAGTCAAAATCTATCATCTATTACTAAGCAGAGACGCAGAGGGTCTTCTATTTTTCAAGTACGACATTAGCCCCAGATAATCTCACAGCCACACTGATGGGCCTGGTTGCTCTGTGGCAGTTGTACAGACTCCTTGGTATGAAGCTTTTTTTGAAGTCAGATCTGTATTTCCACTATTAGTTCTATTCGGGGGACATTTTATCTTCAAGTAAATTAAGGTCTTTAATGAGGGCCCATTTGCACTGCCCACAGCCTTTGTATAGGTTTCTGTCAATTACTGTTGATAAACCTCCCCTTGGAGCCACTGTGGACCTTGAGAGCCATGTTCCTCACAAAATTTCAGGTTATGGCTACATTTCCTTTTCAAGAATTTTTTTAAATTGTGGTAAAACACATATAACATAAATTTACCATTTCATCCATTTTTAAGTGTACAGGTCAGTGGCATTAAATACATGTATAAGGCTGTACAGCCAGCCCGTGCCCGGAACTTTTTCATCTCCCAAACTGAAACCCTGCGTCCGTCAAGCCCTCGCTCCCCATCCTCTCCCTCCAGCCCCCGGCGCCCAACATCCACTCTCGTCTCTGGATTTGACTGCTGTAGGGGCCTCATGCATGTGATTATGCGGCATTTGTCTTCTTGTGTCTGGCTTGTCTCACTGAGCACAGTGTCTTCAAGCTCCATCCCTGTGGTAGCAGGTGTCAGAGTTTGCTTTTTAAGGCTGAATAGGATTCCACCGTGTAGACAGACCACAATTTGTTTATCTGTTCACCCATAGGTGGATACTCAGGTTGCTTCCATCTTTTGGCCACCGTGCATAATCCTGCTGAGAACATGAGTGTGCAAATATCTGAGTCCTTGCTCTCAGTTCCCCCGGGCAAATACCCAGGAGTGGAATTGCTGGATGATACGGTGGTTCTATTGTTAATCTTTTAAGAAACCTCCTTACTGGTTTCCACAGCGGCTGCTCCGTTTTACGTTCCCACCAACAGCCCACAGGGCTCCCGTTTCTCCACATCCTCACCAACACTTGTTATTTTCTGTTTTCTGGGTTCTTTGCCTATTCGTTTGTTTGAGAAGAGCCGCCCTCGCAGGGGTGAAGTGGTGCTTCACGGCGGTTCACATTTGCATTTTCCTCATGACCTTCCCTGTGTTCACTGGCCGTCTGTGTGTCCCTTTTGTTGCCTGTGCTTCTGTGTCATTTCTAAGAAATCATTGCAGACTCTGGGGTCACAGAGTTTTCCCCTGCATATTCTTCTAAGGATTGAGGAGTTTTAGCTCTTCTGTTTAGGCTCAGATTCCATTTTGAGTTAACTTTTGTCTGTGGTGTAAGTTAAGGGCCCAGCTTCACTCTTCTGCGTGTGGACAGCCGGGCATCCCGGCACCGTTTGTTGAAAACACCGTCCCCTCCACGCTGAATGGTCTCGGTTGTCCAACCATCTGACCACATATGGGGGAGGTTTTCTGGCTCTCTAGCCTATTCTAGTTCTACGGGTCTGTATTTTTTTTTTTTTACAAGCACCTGATTTGTTTACTGTAGTTTTGAAGTATGTTTTGAAATCATAAAGTATGAAACCTTGAGTTTATTCTTCTTTTTCAAGATTGTATGGCTCTTTGGGAGCCCCTTTAGATGCCATATGAATTTTAGGATGGACCTACTGCTGCAAAAAATGATATTGGGATTTTGATAGGGATTGCACTGAACCTGTAGATCATATGGCTAAGTTTCTTAATCAGATAGAAATGGGAGTTTTCATCCTTTATAGTAGTGAATTTGCATATCCATTTCAGTGTGTACCATTATCTTAAAAAATTATTTTTTCCAGTTTGAAAAAAAATTCAGATTTTACTATTAGTTTTTTCGGAGGATGGTCAGGTGAACAGCGAACAATTGTGAAGAACGTTAAATACCAACATTTTATAAAATCTTTGCGGAGGATGAAGATACAGTTCTGGTTAATTTATTAAGACTTAACATTCCGAAGGATTTTCTTCCTCAACAGTTATTTGTTGTAGAAAGCCGCTAATGTCATGGAATGTTCCGCACAATCTGCCATCGAAGGCAAGCTTGTCTGCGTTCAGGAGTTCTTTGTTCATAACAGGACCATAAAAGGTACAGAAACTTAGATGACGTGAGGCGTCATCCAAGACAGGAGTCAATATTAATGACTAGAGAGGCACTGCCTGCTTTGATGTCAGTTTCACACCACTGCACGCCTGGCCTGGGTTACTTTTGATATAACGAAGCCTGTCAATGATTGAGCCCTATGCTGACCACCAGCCCTGAATTCCTCCCGAAGTCCATGAGTCTATGTGACTATTCTTCCCATTTTAAAGGCCAGTAAAGGGAAGATTAGTGAACTTAAATATCTATCGTAGGATGACATGATTAAGTGGCCAAGGGCACCTGGTCTACAAGGGGATAGAAGGGAATTTTGTTAAGAAATCCAGACTTAACACGAACTAATTCCAAGTAGCCTTTACCCTTCAATGTTTAATCCAAGCCTATTTCCAAGCTGAATAAAAATATTGCCGAGGTAGCATTAGAATCGGATATGACAAAAAAATTACTCCAAGAAAAGGCTTTGTTTACAACCACCCTTGCTTGTCATGGTACCAAGGAAGGAACACATGTGTGTTAATCCATGTTTTCATCAGTTCCTCGTTGTTAACACTGCTGAGCACCTACTTCGTGCTGGGAATTCCTCTGGTCTCTGGAGATATAAAATGAGGGAGTCACAGTCATAGTCTTCAAAGAGTTCAGAAACTGAACTGACATAAGGCGTGGTGAGATCCGTGAGACAGACCGCACGGCGCTTCCTCAAACACGCATGCACCTTGTTTCCTTCTGTACTCCGGAGCACATGCCTGCCCCGAATGCTGCGCGGCACTCGGTCACCTCCTGTCGAGTTGACAGAGGTTGAGGTGAGGTGATTTAGGAGGTATAGAAGAGGTTTTAACTCTGACTAGAAAACCCAAGGATGTCTTTGTAGAGCAAGTGACTCCAGGCCTGGGTCTTCAAAGGTTAGTTCAATAAATGGATAAATATAGGAGTGGTTTGCTACATCGTGGGAGAATACAAAACCCAGAGGCAAGATCAAGGCACAGATATGGATTCGGGTCACTTGGCATGCACGGCAGCATACTAGGACCAAAGAGCTTCTTCGCTCCTGGTGACTTGGGTTTGGTGTTCGTAAAACGAGTCTGCATGCTGTACGATTTCTGCAGTCCACGGCAGAGGCGCCCTCCTTTCCCCTTCAGAAGGAGGATACAGAGGTTCCACCCGAAGGATTGCATTCTTGCTCTCAACCCCAGAGACTGATTGCTGCTGTCTCTCGTCTGCCCACCGCTCTTCCCACCTCCAGCACCCAGCATGATTGTAGTCAACTGTCCAGGTTCTAGTTTAACTATAGCTGCCGTGCATCTCTTTGAACTATAGACTCTCATGATTGTTCTTTTGTTGATCCTACTCTTTATCGGAAATACTCAGGTGGAGGGGCCCTGGAGCCGACCACCCTTGCTGAGCAGCGGCTAGCCTTCCTTACTTGTGGTTCCGCCACTGTCCCTCCATGCGCCATATTTCCTGTCCCGGTGGCTAGCCTCCATTAGCATCCCCAGTGAAGAAGGACTCTGGGGCTTGCTCCTGTGGGAAAAATGAAAGTGCCATAGAACAAGATTTAGATTTAGGGCAATTTTTTTGTCCTACTATGTCCCAATTAGCTGCTGTGATTGCTGAGCCATGAACACCTGTGCCGCCTCTGCAGCTGGCGCTCTAGGAAATCCAGTTTCCTCTGAACGAGAGCCCAAAGAGAAAATCACACCCTGCATCCAATTTCCATGCTAAAGACTTTACTTAAAATAAAATCAATATCTGTTTCCCAAAAAACGCCATGAATTGTGTTCTGAATGGCGACTATTTTAAAGAAAAGTGTATTGTGTATCCAGAAGGAGGAATCTGCTGAAATAGTTCAAACTTTATAAATCTGTGTTCTTTGACCCATTGAAATGAATTTATTTAAAGCAACTAACAAATACCGTTAGCTTTCATGCCAGCACTGCCAATAACCATTTGTATGCCTTTGGGCAGATCACATCAAATCTTTCTTTTTCTGTGAAATAAGGATAAAGGGTTAAATCAGATGAGTTGGATCACATGAAAATAAGGTAAACTACAAATGATGGTAAGTGTAGCTGAATATATACTAAGTCTGCTGTATGTACTGAGGGCCACTCAGCATGTGCCATTTAGTCGTCTAAACACCCTGCTCTTGTTGGGTGTTACTATTCTTACCGTCTTCTTGTCCATAATTTATATTAGAAGGAACTAATGTGCAGAGAGCTTAAATAACCTTCTGCAGTTAGTAAGCGGTACAGATGGAATTCACACCTGGGTAGGTATTGAACTTGCCCACCAACACTCTTTACTGGGACCTGTCTCCAACCTGTCTCCAAAGCTGAGGCAGATATTACACACTGCCCTCCTCGTGTCTACCCCACGTACGGTACAGCATGTTACGTGTGTGCCTGGCACCCCCCCCCTCCGACATGTGTGTGCCTACACTCCAAGGATTTGCAAACCCACCGGGTCGCCACTCAGTCAGCCTGTTGTGGCTCCCATAGGACGCTGTTAACACAATGTCAGTTCACCGCTGTCAGACTTGCTTCCCCAGAAAACAACCAGAGTCTGAATCATGTGTCGTCAGGATTGTCTCTAACTCATGACACGATGCCTTCCGACTGTTTTCACGGCAATTCGTGTACACGGCTTAAATAATTCTCATGACTTCGTTACTCTCCATTTTAACGATAGTTGTTAACTGTGATGTTACAAA